GGGAGGGGAGGGGTAAAGCAGCCACTCTGCTTGGCTGATGAGCTCACAGGGATGTGTTTGGGAGACGCACAGGAGAAACATCCAGGTGTGTTTCTGGGCAGAGAAGGCTGGCCATGCCTTATGCCCACATGGTCAATAATTAACTCTTATTCTAGAACTAATTAGAAGAATGCTGACTCAGGGAGTCTAGAGACAAGAGTTCTAGCTCCAACTCTGCTCTAGTTGTCGGGGCAAATGAATTTTCCTCTCTAGTTCTCAGCTTCTTTGATAGCACTGCAGTAGTTTTAACATTTACGGGAAGCTACGAGCCCGCTCCATTACACGTGTTCTCTCAGCCAGTGGACACAAATGCATGTGAGGTAAATACTATTATTTTCAACCTCACTCACCATCCAGTGGTGACATTGACCTTCCACTGGCTCTTTGAACTTGTTCCCCTTTTCCTCCCCTGGGCTTTCACTCCGCCCAGAGCACTTTCCTCCACCCCAGCCCCTTTCCATGGCTCCCCCTCATTCAGCCTCAAGATCTTAGCTTACATGTGACATCCGCAGGTGCAACTCCCTGTCTAGAAGAGCTTCCCCTCAAAATGTGTAACACAATTTGTAATTACTTCATTTGTATGTTCTTTTTGGTTCTGTCTCCTGCATCCATCATTAAGCTCCATAGTGGACAGGGGCCTTTGTCTTTTCTCTACCTTTTTTGTGTTTCTGTTTCCAATCAGCTGGCACCTAGTATATCCATCATTAAATATGTGCTGAATGGTCCTGGTTGGGTGGCTCAGGGGATTGCAGGTTCAATTCCCAGTCAGCGTGCGTGCAGGAGGCAACCAATAGATGCTTCTCTCACATCGATGTTTCTCTCTCTCTCTCTCTCCCCCCTCCCCCTTCCTCTCTCTCTGAAAATCAATAAAAACAAACAAAACAACAACAATAAAACCATGTGCTGAATGAAGCAGTGCATGTGACCTGATTTGGTTAATGTGGGAACTGAGGTTTGGAGACGTTAAATCGCTCAGTGTCACACAGCCGGGAGTTAGACTCGAGCTCAGGTCTGCCTGACTCCAGAACTGCTCCTCTTTACCACCTGGGGTGGGGTGGCTGGGAGGACTTCGGGGAGGGAAGTTGGTGGGAGACTTTCCAATGTTCCAAGAGGATTTTGACCCCCCAAGGAGCTTCCAGTCCCATCTCATCTCCCCCCTCTGTCTTGGTGTATTCTAATTAGAGGACCAGGCCCTTGGCTGATGTCCTCTGAAGGAGCTGATTTCACGCTCCCAGATACGGAATCAACCGTCCCTGTAATGTGACCTGCTCAGCAGGATCTGATTCTTCCACTCTTCCACAGACATTATCCGCTCCCTCCTCGCCTCAGGAGATTATTGAATTCGATACTGATCACACAGCACGGTTTCCCTTTCATCAGTGAGGACTGTGGGGAAAGGAGCAAGTTAACCAGAAATCCCACGGGCATCATATTTCAATGTCATGTTTTCAGAACTCAATAGAAGTGAAAATAAAACAACAGTCACGTGCGTGGCTTCAATAGTCTGATCCCTTCTGTGCATCTAACATTCTGAACTAGTTAAATACATAATTATCACTCCATCTTAAGTTCATTACATGGAGGTATTAATACTCTCTTACTGTTTATAAAGCACTTTAAAATACGATGAAACGCCGAGGGTAATTTCTTTGCAGCCGTTAGGTGCTGAAATTTTCAGGATTTGTCTCCATGCCCTCTGTTCTAACTCGCTGCACTTCACTGTTTCATGGAATTTTTCAAAAATGAAACTGTTTGAAGACATTACTGCCTTTGGCCACATCTTTAATAAACCAATATAGTGCTCATTGCACACCCGACTTGCCCCAGAGAAGCGCACGTGTGTGAATTGCACGCAAATGTCCGCATGAATTGAGAGGGGCTGCACGGGGATTCGTGCCCATCTCAGCGAGTTCTCTCCTTGGCTTAGGAAGGCAGAGGACCCCCCGTCCCAGGTGAGGAAGCCTGGGCAGGGAGAGCGGCCTGCACCGCCCTCCCCAGGGCCTCGGGTTCCTTACTCTGTTCTTTCTCCTGGAAGACCTGCCAAAGGAGCCCCGTGACGTGGCACCAAGGCCTGAGACTCCAGTATTGTACGATGGAATCTAGATTTCAGCACTGAACCATTAAAACCCCATCCTCTTAATTCCTGCCAACACAAAGAGCTGCCAGGAAGGCTGTTTGGCCATGAGGAGTAAGCACGTTCATGCTGCAGGGATGGCAACCAGCTTCCCTCCGGCCTTGACATTCTGTGAGTGTCATCCACAGAGTGCCGAGTGGGTGGCCGTGGCTCCCAAATGCTCCTCAAGTCCACTAGTGAGCCAGACTCGGAAGAAAAGCAGAAAGAGCCTGGAGTGTGTGGGCGTTGGTTCCCTGGGGCCGGTGGTCATGTAGATTGGCCAGGGGTGAATAAGCCTAAATTTCCTATTTCATGGAGCTATAGGAGGAGCTCGTCCACATTTGTTTACAGTAATGATGTTCGATAACATTTATTGAACACTTACTCTGTGCCAGGATCTGCTCTAAATGTCTTACACACATTAACACCTAGACACCCATTTTGTTCTTACCATATCTACTGTAGTTTTTTTGGTCAAGTTTTTTTCATTTTTAAAATGCCGATTTTAAAAACTAACAACTTAAAACTGTCACACACACAAAAATGATCCACAAAATGTTGCTTTCCCTGCAAAGGTTTTATCATTAACCAGCCTTTTCCTGGTAAAGTGAAATGGCCGATCGGGACGAACAGTCCTGAGGCTCTTCTCGCACCACTAATCGAGTGAGGCGGCAGGTGTATGGACAATGCTGTTTCACCTTCTCGGCTTTCTGCACAGGCCTGGTGGCGCTCAGTCCAGCAGCCTTCTCGTCTGCAGCAACTGTCTGACTCTTATCATGAACGGCAAAATGACCCAGAGGACTTCTGATCAATGCTATTTTATTGATGAGGAAACCAAGGCATGGGAAATTAAGCACCAATGCCATGGTCACGTTCCAGAGCCCATACACTTATAGTCATTATAAGGAAACAATAACTCTTCTAGCAATGCAGAGAGAGCTAGTGTTCCTGATAAGGAGCCAGACCTCCTGCAAGGAGCTGAATTCCGAAAGTTAAAATAAAATAAATGGGAATATTTATAGCATGGGTCAGTGTGGTAAGTGCACTTGATTGACTTTCTTTAGAAAAAGGGAGGAAATTCTTTTAGTTTAGCTACACTAGTGGACAAACTTGGCATTTTCTTACTTGCCACCTTCACCTATGCCCAGCATCCCAGATGTATCTTCTTTCTTGAAGACGTCTTTGAGATTCTGCTTCTCATTTTCAGTGCCTAATTCGCATAGATCCATGGCCCACACCAGGCTAGACCCTGATATTAATTGTTAACCAGTCGAAGCTTTCAACAGTTGAGTTAGAAAGAGGGAGCTGCACAGGGATGCGGCCACCGAGGCTGGCTCGAGGCACAAATACTGAGATCCTGTGTTCTCAAGTGGCATCTCTCAGGTACCTCTTCCTCCTCAACCCTTTAGCTCTAAAGTTCTCTGATCGTAAGAAAAATTCAAATATTTACGAATTTAAAACTCCTATTCTCTTTACAGCTAATGTTCAACCCAACTAAAGGATTAACTTACGATTTACACGTTGGGAACCGAAAGATTTGTCAAACCATCAAGTTGAGGACAGATGATAGCAATATGTTCTCTAGACAGAGGCAAAAACTGTTTTTCTTCTTTTTTTTCAGGTTCTTTTTTTTTTTTAAATGTATCTTTATTGATTTCAGAGAGAGGAAGGGAGAGGGAGAGAGGCAGATAGAAACATCAATGATGAGAGAGTCATTGATTGAGCCCACAACCCAGGCATGTGCCCTGAGCGGGAATCGAACCGTGATCTCCTGGATCCTAGGTTGACGCTCAACCCCTGAGCCACGCCCGGCCGGGCTGTTTTTCTTCTTTTTGTCTCAGTATAGATGGTTATAAGTTTATACAATGGTGCTTTGCCAAAGGTGCTCTTTACCACCTGCAGCATTGCGGGACAGATGCGATGGGAGAACCAATGTGTTTGTTAGAGGTAACATCACCCAGGGAGGCTGAAAGTCTTACTTTTTTGGCTTGAAGAGCTTTTAGCGGTATTGTTGAAAAATCCATCTTTGAACACCGCCCTCAGGGTCTGCATAGTCTTAGAACTCAGTATTTTGCACTCAACACTTTTACAAGGCTTTCATTTTCTTCATAATTTCTAGCGGTGATGTGAAATGTCTGAGTGGAAGGATTTAATGAAAAAAAACCGCACACCTCTAAAAGGCACTATGTTAAAGATGTGAAGAGAAAGAGTGATTTTAAAAAAAACCTATTTTTCTATTTAAAATCAGTAAACAGAAAGACATGTCACCTGTTTGTACAGATCAATTTGCTTCTGGTTTTTGTGTTTTTAAGGATTAAAACAAATCGGTGACACAAGTCATGAGTGAGCCACAGTTATAAGCACATTATGATAATTGCTCTTAAATGCATATACTGAGTGTTGTTTTCTGGACAACTGGAAAAGATCTATCCTTATAAATGATGAGTTATCACCAAATTAATGCAAAGCATTGTATTCACATTCTTTATCTTGATAAAACTATGGTAACAAAAAATAAAAATTTGTGATCGTGTCTTTTTAATAATCTATTTCAAAAGACAAACATGTTCATTGCGGAAAAATGCAGAGAAACAAAAAGAAGAAAGCAAGGAGACACCCAAATTCTTCCCACCTGGAGACATCCGTCATCAACCCTGTGGTGCGCATAGCTCCCCAGATCCTGAGATGCGAGATTACATCTCTACCTCTGAGGCACGGCAGCTCCCTCCACACTCAAGCACAGATATTTGTGCCCGTGTTTAATTTCTCTCCAAGCAAAATGACTCCGGCTTGCCAGGCTCTTTTCAGATACCACCTCCCCTTTTCCCACCAGCGCCCTGGCCTTCACCCTGAGCCAAGCCTGCTGTTGCCCTTCGGAGCCCATAACCCCTCCCAGTCCAGCCACGAAGCCCCTGCCCATGGCTCTCGCTGGGCCGGCATCACTCTTAACAGCCGCTTTCTCTTTCCTTTCTTGTCCTTCCCAGCTTTTTGCGATCTTTGCATTTGCAACATGCGGTGGCTACTCGGGCGGCCTGCGGCTGAGCGTGGACTGCGTCAACAAGACGGACAGTAACCTCAGCATCGACGTAGCGTTTGCCTACCCGTTCAGGTAAGAGGGCCCGCACCCGAGGGCGCCCCGGCCTTCTGCGCTCCTCAGCAGCTCACCACCCTCTGGGTAAGCAGAAAGAATTCTGCCTGAGCCCGCAAAATACCCAAACATGTAAAATGCCCACCTCCCCCCTCCCTGGGAGGATGTCTGAGCTGTACCTTCAAACCAGGACTGACCCTCCAAAAAAATGCTACAAGTGGTCAGTATTGGGGTGATGCTCCAGTATCAACATGAAGACCTCAGTTATACAATTCCTTTCTCCCATCCAGAGTTCCAATCTTGAGGTCTCCCAAAGTCTAAATAGGATTAATGTCACCACTAATTTCACATTGACTATGCCGTGTTGGCCGACAGTGTATTTAATAATATTAATACCTAATATTATTTCCATGTGCCAGTCGCTTTACTTGCTGTTTACCTGTTAATCTCATTTAGTCATGACGATGACCTTTGAGAGGAGCACAATTATCATCACCATTTAAAAATGGGGAAACTGATTCACAGATATGTTTGCTCGCATTCCCTCGGCCAGTAAATGGCAGAGTCAGGGCTCGAGCCCACCCGGGTTGACACAGAGCTTGCGTGTCTGTTGCTGCACTGAATCTGCCTGAGGTAATTTCTTCAATATCTGTATAAATCCAGCCTGAACATAGCGCCTTACCTTCGTCTTTGCCTTACCTATAAAATACGTGCCAGGGCTTGTCCTAGAATCGGACATGCTGTGATTCTGATCCATAGCTAATGGGAATCAATTAAATTTAATTTTGAAATAATTTATCTCTGTAAAACTCCCAAATTCTTGGCCCCAGGTAACTGGTGCGATTTTTGAAACAATTTCAGCACAGTGTTGGCATCTTATTACTGCGCCCTCTCCTTTGCTTCAGTTTCACAAACATGCATCGAGCAGTCGCCTGGGTCCAGGCTCCGTGCAGGCCTGGAACTGACCCCGAGGTCAGCGCCTGCCCCAGCCTCTCCTGGTGCCCTAGATACTTGGTGTTTCTATGAGAGAAACGAAGAGCAGGGGGAGGCCAAGGGGAAGGGAGGGAGAATTTAAAAGTTATATAACGAAGTAAGTTTAAGAAAGGCTTCCTAGCACTTCATCTTTCTATGCGCATTTTGAGTCACCGAGAGAAGCACAGTGTTTCCCAAACATGTCTGACCACAGAAGCCCTTCTCACTGAGCGTCTCAGAGGATTTGTATGTCATGTGTGTCCTTAATATATTGATCCAGGGAACTTTTCCTAAACCCAGAGGAAAGTGCCTCAGTCATAGGCACTGAGTCGCAGGGAAGTGGCATCTATACTAAACGGTTTGTACTTAACAGTCTTCAAGAGTAAAACTGATAAAAACTACAAACACCTCTACTCAAGCAGATGCTCTCCCAACTAGTAAGAGAATCCGAAGTTCAGATTAGTTAATTAATTAAGCAAATTAAAATAAACTAAGCAAATATTAAGGCATCCTTGCTCATCCGGTGAGAAGAGCTTCCTGTGCTGCTGGGAGTGGGCGTGGGGTGCTTGACCCTGGAGCTCCCCGTGAACCCCTTGGCTCCAATGGAGAATGGAGAATGCCAAGCCAGCGCGAGCCTGCTGGTCAGCACGCAGAATCCAGGAGGGGAGACAAGCTGGCCAATGCTGGCCAGCGGGGGTGGGTGCTTAGTAACGTTACTCATGAAACCGTGAGGCCTGCATTGCCTTCTACAGTGATTTCCCACCGAGAGATGTGGTAGGCACAGAAAGTCAAATTCTTAAGATACAGAGAGCAGCAGGTCCCTAAATGTGGAGCACAGGCCTCTCTGTGTGTCTCCCAAACTGGAAGAGACTAACTAAGAGACCTGTCAAGACAGGCGGCCAGTGTCTGGGCTGAGGCGGGGTGGAGAGCAGGGTGGCTTTTAATTCCATGCAATCCCTGGCTAAGTGTGCAATTTGCAAAGAGCCTTCAAGAAAACACTCTCCAGCACTGGGCTTCTTCTTTCCAGGACATATTAGAATTAAAGGCAACTGAAGGAATTGTATGAAGATGTTTTTTGCTGTCTGTTAGTATAGAGGCCCACTCATCTGAAAGAATTTTACTTGGGTCCTGAAACAAAGATGATGAACCATTGTTTTTTCAGTAGTAGAACTTTTCATCCAAACATCACCTTGTTCAGAAGCTCTGCAGAGAAGACAGATATGAGTCATTGAGAAAGTTGGAGCAGGGGCAGAAAGGGGCTTGAAGCATCCAGCTGGTCTTTCTCAGCCCTCTTCCAGCCACAGGCATAGCCCGACTCCTGTCACTCCCTCACCCCCCACCCCACCCCACCCCACCC